CTGAGTGGTGCAATGATAGTAATTTACTAAATCGCAAGCAATCCAGCAAGAAAAATAGCATCGTCTGCAGCGGGCTTAACTGGCATTGATGGCTTTCCAGCCTAAATTGGGTGCGTTTTGGAATACATTCCAAATTATGGCCGATTTTTTCACTTCCCGATAAAATTATCCGGAGGTTTTAGCCAATCATGTGCATGGATCTGGTAGTTTATCTCCTGGTTAACTTTAACCGCAACATAACTGGATGTGAAGAAATCGGGCATTAGTGTACAACTCTATATTTGATTTTTTCTATGATTTCATAGATGTGCTGTTGATGCCTTTGACTATATAATCATGGACTGCTAGTTGCCTCCACTTTGCCTGGTCTAAAGCCCGCTGCAGACGATGCTATTTTTCCTGCTGGATTGCTTGCAATTTAGTAAATTACTAGGAATCCTGAATGCTGAGTGGTGCAATGATAGTAATTTACTAAATCGCAAGCAATCCAGCAGGAAAAATAGCATCGTCTGCAGCGGGCTTAAGGCTGAAATCACATGATGCAGAATAGGAGTACGGAATAGAGAGTGCGTTATAGAAACAGGCAATCAGAGCTTTGCCGTATCAACGAGTGACGGAAATGTCTGGCTCTGATTGGTTGCTTTTATGACGCACGTTCTATTCCGTACTCCTATTCCGCATCATGTGATTTCAGCCCTTAGAACATATAGACATGGAAGAGGAATAGGGACTTGAAATGTGTCCGGAGGAAGCGAGAAAGAAAATCGTAGTGGAGGAAGCGAGAAAGAAAATCGTAGCTCTCTCTCGTGAGTTACTGCTCGAAAGTGCGCATGCGCGCCAACTCACACACACACACACCGATGCTTGTGTGCGCATGCGCACTTTCGAGCAGTAACTCACGAGAGAGAGGCACTACGATTTTCTTTCTCACTTCCTCCGAACATATTTTTCTCTCGAGAACAATGGGCATTCCTCTTCCATGTCTATATGTTCTAAGTTTCAGCCTAACACGTAATCAACATCACGAGTACCGCCATAGGATAAATGGCAGAAAATCGAAACACTAAGTCAGATTTAATGGTAAAACAGGACAGAAGACAGAGATAGAATATATATACATATATTATATGTATATAGCTTATGTCGTGCTGTTTTATCATGTTTATCAGAGTTCAGAACCATAATTATATAAAACAGCACGACATAAGCTATACATATATATATATTCTATCTCTGTCTTCTGTCCTGTTTTACCATTAAATCTGACTTAGTGTTTCGATTTTCTGCCATTTATCCTATGGTGGCGCTCGTGATGTTGATTACAGCCTGAATGCGGCAACTAGCAGTCCATGATTATATAGTCAAAGGTTGATGCCGTTGTGTAGAACCTAACCTTGCACTAGTTATACACGTGTAATTTTATTTAGTGATCGTATCCATTAAATGTTGAATCGCCGGTACACATAAATCAAAAATATTATTAAGTAAATGCCAGCGCTCCTGATAACTTATTCATTCATTATTTAATTCAAGTCGATTGAATTGCAAAATAAACATTTAACATTTTCATTTCTATAGGTGTATTAACACAATGTATAAAAGAAATTAAAATCACATTGATCATCTCAGTTCAGTAATTCATCTAGAGATATTTCAAAAAAGTAAAGTACATATTTCATATATATTACAATGACAAATCAGCGACCAGTCTCATGCGGGTTGGATTTTTGCTGTGCGGTAAATCTAAGTGATTGTTTAGTTTACGCAAATGACTCAAAGTAAGTTATTATTAATTGTTTATTTAATTATTGTGTTGTGTATTTATTTGTCAATTTTTCCATGCTATTTGTACTTTATTCATGATTTCAGATATGATTTTATTTGTACCCCTTTGGTTCATCCTTTATTTAAAAGAGAATTTGTTTCTGGACCTGCCAAAAATCGTCCAGGACCATTTACCAGGCCTGACATAATTTTATCCAGTTCAGGTATAAATAGAGTATAACTGTGTATACATTTGTATTATGTAAATATTTTAAGTAAATTTAGGTCTAAGATAAATCTGTAATATTACTTTATAGATTGGAATAATTTAATAATTGGGAAGTTTTCACCACTTATCAATGTTGATTCGGCCAATCCAGTCATTAGAAGAAATAGCGAGGAAGCTTTGAGTCAAGAATTAAGCTTAGCTAGCCACTTCGGTTTGTCAGGGGTGACTTTCAAATTAAGATGCGGAATAAATAAAAATATAAATCTTGCAAGGATTATCTCCGATAAAATAAGTAATAACAACTGTATCTTTCAGGTAATATACACGATACAACAGTTTTTAATATTAAGTTTCATACATATATTTCGTAAAACAATCCTAAATATCCTCCCTCCACCTCCTCTTCTCTTTTTTCTCCTCCTATCTTCCCCTCTCTCCCTCCCTCCTTTCCATTCCCCCCCCTCATTCTTAGAAATGCCTTGGAATAAAAATTACACATTTATGTTTAAGGAAAGCAAAAATATACTAATATAGAATCTCCATCTTTTTATCTATAAACTCTACAGGATGAGATAGATATAATTTTTGTGATTGTCAAAATATATTGATTATTGTAGGTATGGGTGCAAGTTCCTATGGAGAATTCAATTAGGCAATCCTATTCGTACAGAACAGAGGATTGTCCAGTAGAAGAGAATCCATGGGAATGGTGGAATTCCTTTAGAGTAATATGTGATTATAATAAAAGATTAGGAGTTGCATTAATTGTCAGTCATGATTTGCCTGAAGAGGAAGAGGTAACTTGGAGATTAAACTTATAAATGAAAATTCTACAGCATGAGATATGTATAATTAAAATTTAAATTCATAAGATTGATAGGTGGCTTGGAGAACCAGTGAGATGTTTGATTTTGCCGACAACATTATTTCTAACAAATAAAAAGGGATACCCAGTACTAAGTAAAGCACATCAAGCATTGGTAAAGAAATTTGCTGTGTTAGAAGTGCAATTCATTTTGACAGGCGCATCACGTTACCAAAGCATTAGCTATTATCATAATTATCTTGACTACCTGTGGAAGGTAAAACTGAAGAGATTATATAAAGTTATCAAGTTGAATACTTTGTAATGATTTTGCTGAGTGTAGGAAGTACCATTCTTATTTTTTCAGGGATGCCAAGGTGATGGAACAGTGGAAAAATTCGCTCGAGGTTATGAGGACTATCTGCAGTGTCCGTTACAGCCGTTGATGGATAATCTTGAATCTCAAACTTATGAAATATTTGAGAAGGATCCCGTGAAGTATCGAGAATATCAGAGTGCTATATACGAAGCTATTAAAACAATAACATCCAAGATAAAAGAAGAACAGAGACCAATGTAAGTCGAATTTATTATAAGGTAATATCCGTAAAAGAATATATAATTGTAAATTTTTAGAGTCATTATGGTGGTTGGTGCTGGAAGAGGACCACTTGTAACCGCATCGCTGAATGCTGCGGAAATGGCCTACTGGGAAGTAAAGATATATGCAGTGGAAAAAAATTCTAATGCCGTGATAACGTGAGAACATTTTAAAATAACAATTATATTGGATTCGATAACAAATTTCATTTCTTTTGAATAGGATGGTTTTTATTAAGTATAATTTTTGTTTGTCAACAAGATTTTAACAAAATTTTGTTTATTACTTTCTTTTAAAAAAATAAGAGGGGGAACTTTTTGTCCAACATTATATCAAGTTTTATTTTCATGATCATGAATTACATGTTTATTATAATATTTTATTATTTATTTTTACAGTTTACAGGCCCTTCAAAGAGATATGTGGAAAGAGAAAGTTACAGTGGTATCGTGCGATATGAGAGAATGGAGTCCCCCAGAAAAAGCTGATATTATTGTATCTGAATTACTTGGGTCTTTCGGTGATAACGAGCTGTCTCCAGAATGTCTGGATAATGTCCTTAAGTTCTTAAAAGGTTTGCATTGCACATCAAACTATATAAATTGCATTAATGGCATTAATCTTTCTCTTTAAATATATATACTGTCTTGTTAAAAATTTTTAGATGATGGAATTAACATACCACAATCGTACACTTCATACATAGCTCCTATGCAATCCTCTAAACTGTACAATGAAGTGAGGCAGCTTCGAGATAAAGATAAACATCCACTGGCTCACTTTGAGACTCCATATGTAGTACATCTTCAAAATAAATATGATATAGCAAATCCAAAACCACTTTTTACATTTCAACATCCGAATACAGGTTTGTATAAAGTATCCATGAAATTATACATTTTTTTATTTTAATTTTCTTATACATTTGTATCTTTTTAGGTGCTGCTATTGACAATTCAAGATATGAAACCAAGGTTTTTCAAGTGGAACAGAATTGTGTATTACATGGATTTTCAGGATACTTTACGGCAATTTTATATGAAAACATCACCTTAAGCATAGAGCCTAGCACATATAGCCCAGAAATGTTTAGTTGGTTTCCAATCTTTTTTCCACTTAAGGTATATTTAAAATAGTATTTTTTTCTCCCCATTTAAGATATACTTGTAAAAGATATATGAAAAATAAGACCCCAAATGTTTATCGATACAGGAACCAATACAGTTGAAGGCAGGGGATGAAATAGTGGTTCATTTCTGGCGCCGATGTAATTCTAAGAAAGTGTGGTACGAATGGTGCCTCAGCAAACCCGTCCCAGTCTCAATCCACAATTCAACTGGACGTTCTTCCATTATGGGATTATAATGTAATAACTCTGATTATTTCTCGTTCGCTTAAGATTTTTCTGATAATGATATATGATATAATTAGTTTGTCACACACAAGTATCAACTATTAATTATTAGATAGTATAGTTAAATTTTTCGAGAAACATTCAGCAGCATAGTATTGCATATACGAATATTTTTTTGTATTTTTGCATTAATTTCATCTGATACTTGTAAGTTTGATCATCACCATATAAATGAGATTAGAATTAAATTTCATATAGAACTTGATGTAATGTAGAATTTCTGGACACATACAGACATACATACATAGACATATGTGTTTCTGAATGACGTAGGTTTCTGAAACAAATGTTTCTTCGTTTGTTTTATTTGCGTTTAGAAGGTATCGAGGATCAGGTAATAACCGTTAACAATGCAAAATGATAAAAAATAGGGGGGAATATATTCACATTGAAAATACGATATGTGAATATTTTCTTCATTGCAAATGGTTTTTTATGCATTGTAATTGTGGATCTTAGTATGACATTGATATCTGAGGTCATTGAGATATTCAATGAGGTCACTGATATAGCATATGGTAGAATTTTGATAACATGTATTACGAGATGTTCTGAAGTGTGCTATTACTATCTTCTTAAACTCACGTGATTTGAAAAACATTGTCTAAATGCTACATATTGTAAGATCGGTATTAAATCAAATATTGTCTGTATAATAGTAATATTGAAACATATATATGTACTTTGAATTTTTACTTATATTGACAAAAAAATGACTCTTAAAATCTTTTATACAAATACCTCTGATTCATTTAGCTGAAGACATTATTATTATTCTATCAAATTATTATGTGTGTAAGCCAAGTAACACTATTATATGTATAGTTAAAGCCCAAGACAGAACAAAAGATACGTATATACATATATATCTGCGGGTGTAACAATATTATTAGCAATTCATGGGATCAACATGAAGGACCAAACGAAAAATGTTGCTGCTTATAACTTAAAACACAGTCCTTAAATTCAATATTCTGATTCAATTCTAATGTACGGAATCAAAGTAATAATCTCTCTCTTTCCCAAATAAGTTACAAACTATATATTAAGTAATGAAAGAGAATTATATGCTAAATGAAGGGTAATACTTTAGGTAAAGAATCTATAATGAAATGAAAGCTGTCGATCGAGCGTAATTATGCAAAGAAAATTTCAACTTTATATCACTTTTTTATTGTAAGATGTACGTCTGAGAATAACATGGTCTAATATACGAAGTCTGGCTGCATTAAACCTTTGAAATATACGTTTTTCTTTTCAGCTGACTGATTGCGATTCTGGTGTTCAATCAGAATTACAAAGTTCAAATGCAAAATTTCAGGCGCCATGTTGGATCTGCCATTATGAATTTTGTAAATATATAAAGTAACTATTAAATTAGTTACTGGTTAACGAAAAAAATGTAACCGAGTTACAGTCACAGACGGAGAGAAGGTGACGAAGTTAAAATTACCAAAAAAAAGTAACTGTAACTTTGTTACAAGTAACGAGTTACTGCCCAATCCTGCAAGTCATATTCTTTTTAAATCTGGTCTGCTGATTGTTAACGAATATTTCCAAGAATTTTCCGTCACTTTTGTTTATTCCACGAAGAAATTGCAAATTACGATTTACGTCGTGTTCGCGCGCAGTCTGAGATTACAATTTAACGAGTAACGTCTAGGCATCATTCGTCGCTGACGATGTTGGCTGATAGCAAAAATATAAAACTAACTCGATTGCCCAAAGACCGGAGGTCACTTGCCGTTTGTGTTGCAATTGCACGCGAGATCGTTCCACGCCCGTGCGCGCGATCAACGTTCGCGTCTCGGCCGCCGGAAAAGCCGAGATCCGAAAAAAGAAGATTCATTTCCCGACGTTTCTGCCGGGATTCGAGCTGTCTCTACATCCGCGTTCCTACGGCCCGCTTAAATATCACGCTTGACGAAATTTCCAAGACGAGATAAAAGAACGGCCGATAACGGCAGAAACGTGCCGGCCGATTATCGCTGGTCTCGTGTCTCGCCATTCGACCGGGACTCGGCCCCGTTTTGCTCTCGCCGCAAGTTGTATCGCGCGCGCGGTCCCGAGGCTCGAGGAGTGAGAAAAGAGGTTAGGTGGCCTCTCGTGCACCGTCTCGCACGGCGATCGCGGCAGCGAAAAGCGACGGAGGGAAAAATGGCACTGTTGATCGCCCAGGTCGGCAGACACGCGGTGAAGACGCTCGTCTCGCACGGCGACCTTCTCGGTACGGTCGCGAGGTCGAGGATACCTATCGCCATGGCGCGATCCATAGCCACGACTCAGTGGCTGAGAGACGGTGAGTTAAGTACGCGCGAAAGTCAGCAGTTCAAGATCGCCGGCTTGGATTTTCTTTTTCAAAACGCCGACCCGTGCGTTCTCCCCGAAAACCGCGACGCGGAAAAACGATTCGGCCGTTGAGTATCGGCCATTACGAGTTTTCCCCCGTTTCTTGCCATTTAAATTAAAATTGATATTAAGCGCGCGTGAGGAATCAACGTTGACTTGTATACATGCGCGCACGTGTGTACATCTATAATAATAAATAGGGTATCTTCGGGGAGGTAGGTGCTAATTGTAAGACGCGTCACTTATTAATTTTTCCCACCCACACCACCGAGGTCAGGAGACCTGTATGGACCGTGGACTGGCACTACTAGAAATCTTTTTCGAATGGGCATAGAATAATCGGTCGAATACAGCGTGTCGGTTTTATGTGGTACAATCACCGGTTTCACTGCCTTTTGCATAAGATAAGTGTATTACACAATAAACAATGTGCCATACATAAACTCGATGAATATTAAAAAATTATTCTGAACGAATATTCCAAAAACGTTCTCCTTTGTTAGGAACGTACGATTTCTAATTGTAATAATCTATATATGTACATTTATAGAATATTCTGAAATTGAGAATATTTACACTCCAGAAGAATATTCATAGAACTATGTGTGCTATCTGGGCATGTATACAATTTCTTGTTCCCAATTTAACGTTTGTATGAAAGAAAAGATTAATAATTCAAAGAATACAAGAACGCTCAGCCGTGACAAGGTGTTAGTTGTCTAAATAATTTTATTATAAGATTTATTGCACATTACCTCAGCCTGGGTTTGAATCTGGACCTCCCTGCTCGCTAGTCGGGCATCTCATCAATTCGACTACCGAGATTAATAATTCTATTCAGATTAACAAACTAATTCAGGTATTACTTCACAAGTTAATCGCTGACCAAATTGATTCCATGTTTGTTAAGTCGCCCTAAAGTTGATATGTTCTGCATTGTTTTTCAAATTCTTAGTGATTATATAATTTATGTGAATCTTTAGTGATGCAACTTCGTTTAAATACACTGTCGTCGAATCACAGTTACGAGATAAACGCATCATTTTTTCAGAACGATGGTACACCGAGAAGCACGAATGGATAACGCTGCACGGGAAAATCGGCACAGTCGGTATATCAGACTACGCACAGGATGCACTTGGGGATGTGGTGTACGCGCAGCTTCCCGACGTAGGATCCATAATTAAGAAAGATGGTAACTGACGCTTTCTTACTTATAGTGCGACCATATTTCAGAAAAACTTCAGAAATAAAAAGGAGTCCGTAAACAACCAATAGTTACATAACATCAATATTATAACTTTCTACTCAACAATGTCATTGTTACGTGTGTGTCGTATTGCATTTATATCGTTGAGTAGGAAATTATAATTGGATGTCATGTGACAGTTGGTGTTTGCTAGAAACTGTCTCCAGCAGGACAAACTGGAATGTCCTATCGAAGAAAAGTATTCATTGTTTTAACTTAGGGGTGTACAACTTTTTTAAAAGTTAATCATAACGAGGCTCTATAAGATATGCAGTCGAGAAAAAACCAAGTTGAGAGAATGTAAACGTTACTGTTTTACCTTCGATTTCAATTTTCCTTCCTTTACTTTTACTTGTAGAAATCTACGACATCCTGTATAACAACATAATCTTAAAATTTAGAATGGAAATTTGAATGTTTTTCACAATTTAGTTAACTGATCTTTTTCTAGAGGAATGCGGAGCCTTAGAATCGGTGAAGGCAGCTTCGGAACTGATAAGCCCGGTCAGCGGGAAAGTTACGGAGAAAAATGAGGCTGTTGAAAGTAAACCTGGATTAATTAATAAATCTTGTTACAAAGATGGTTGGCTATTTAAAGTAGAGTTGAGTGACCCAGATGAGCTCAAGAATCTAATGAATGAAGAAGCTTATAATACGTTTTTGAAAACGGATGCTCATTAAGATTGTATACTAGAAATAAATTTCTCCAATGTAGAACTTGAATCAATTATAATATCAAGAAGTTTTCTATTTGAAAATACTATTCGAGATTTCAGTGGTTTTGTAGAAATACATGTGGAGGACATTTTACTTTAATTGTACAATATTTTACCTTACTATTTGTACATCAACAATAATTCGTAACAAATCCAAAAGTATGGTGCATTTATTATAAATATATCACAATTCGAAGAAATAAAGGACATGAGCCAAAACAGGATGTTAGGTCTCAATGATTTTAATTTTTTAATTTATTGCGAAAAATTTACCTCGGCAAGTTTCCAATTTTTCGCAATAAAATTTTAAAAAAACATTTAGACACTAACATCCTGTCTCTTGACTGTTATATCTTTTATTCCTTCAAATCGCGATTCTACGTCAGAGCTTTATGTATTTTATTGTTTATAAATGTATCATTGCGTTGTATGGAAAGTACAATATTATATTTGCAGCTTGGTCACAACTGGAGTTACACATCTACCATTTCATTCAGTAATTTTATAAATATAAATGATGAGAGAATATAAATAAATGATGAGAGAAACGTTAATTTATGTAAAAGTTAGTGCATTAAGCAAGCAAGCATTTAATATTCTTTTAACACATACGTCATATATGAACTTTATTCATCCATGTTAAACAGTAATGTCGAGAATCTACTGCAAAATTAAAAGAAGTTATAATGTTAATGCATTACAAAAATGTACAAAATATAATTCAGTACAGAGATTTTAATGCGTAAAGATGTGTTTTAGCACAAGTCACAAGTTGATATCGATTGCGATAGTTGCAATATTTTTATTAGTCACTGTGCAACGTTCTTCATTTAGTATTTATACAAAGCAAACAAATATTGTGATATATATATGTATGTATATATATATATGTTGTTTAATAATACATGAATAACAACATTCGAGAGTTACGAATTATGATACTATTCTTTTTTTATCGCACAAAGATTTTGAAAGTTTGCAATATATAATTGTATTTTAATAAACGTAAATAATCGCAAGATGCTATTTTCAAATTTTACAAAATAGTATATCGATTGATCTTATACTATTTTTTTTAATTCTCCGTTGAATATTTCATAATCTGATAGCAATCCTAAAGTTCCAAAATGAAGGAAGTAATATCACCATGGGTTTTAATCAATATAATATATAAAAAATAGTACTGTTAGCTCTCTAGAAAGGAACAATTATCTGTTAATAATAAAGATATATTTACATTAATTAATTTTTTCTACATAATTTACAATTGCCAACTGCTAATGGCAGTGTTAACAACGCATAATAGTTTTTCCATTTAAACTTTATTCCATCGATTTATCGGATCAAAGAATCACGTAGATATTAAATTAGATTATTTGCCAATCATAATTGGTAACTGTACATATTTAACATAAAAAAATATACACAACGCTGTAGTTATCGTATTCACTAATTACAATGGTTAATAAACATAACAAATCGTTGAGTCATTAATCGAAATTGATATATATATATACAAAATTAAGCATTTAGAACGTGACATATTAATATTTTAGGAAAGTGTCAATTTTAGAAGGAAACGTTTAGATTGTAAAAGTTGTGAGATTTCGAAGAGAACATATAGCGTCCATAATACTTGGTGCCATTTTCGCAAAGTAACAATGATTATTTTTTCCGAGAGCATAATATTTTTTAACATTCGAGTAAGTTTTAAGCATATCGAGACTTCATACGTTTAACTTAATAAAAACGTGCTCGTAATGCTTCTGTATCTTGTATGGTACTTACAATTTTGTTATTTTATGTCATAAGTTTATACGTTTATGTTACTAGACGATTATAGAACTTTTAGATAATTATAACAGACGTAAAATTTACATTGATGTTAAAAAAATTATACCATGAATTTATCATGACCTTAATCCTGACTAAAATTCATTAGAAAAGATAATGACGTTTCGTTAGCAAGAGAAAAAGTAAAGATGTTTACACAGAAAATTCGGACGTTTCTTGTGAAACTATTATTGCCATTAAATACTCTCTTCCTGCAACATTTACAGAAAACGTTTTTTCCTAAAATTAAAATTTAAAGGCAATTAATATGTCACGCTTTATATGCCTTATTCTGTAACACAAAATACGTACGGAAATAATTTCAAGTTATCTTAGTTCTTTTTCATTAGAGCTTTTTTTCTCATTAACATATGGTAGTGTTTGCGATTAATACGACTTGTTCCAAAATTATCAGACCGACACGCGTTCAGCAGGAGGTCTCGGAGATGAAAAAAGACGATACAATAAATAAACGGTAGCGTGAACTTGTCTTACCCAAACAGCAATGCATGATTTAAAGCGATATTTTTCAATTGTGAGACAGCAGTAATTAATACATGGTAAACGACAGAATTATGAACTAATTTGCAAAAAATACAATAGTAATAGTTAACTAAGAGCTAATAACGTGTGGACATACAATGGGTACGATACTTTTAATAAGTTGTATTACATCGTAGCTTCTTAACGTGTAATTATACACACTACACGAATTAAAAATACCTGTTTATGCATGTTACACTCATTCGTTCCATTCGAATTGCTATCTGGGCGTCTATTCTGAGGTATATGGTTACTAAAAATGTAAAAATATAAAACTTAATACAGATATATGAAGAGGTAGTCATCATTCGTGTCGTGAGTTAAATAAAATTAATCTTTTTTTTCATCTCAAAGAAGCGTTATTGCAGATGAGAACAATGATAAGCCTAGGCTGCTTCCAATTTCGTGTTTAACATGGAAAACTGGACGATTTGAAAATTTGGGAACATTAGCATATTTTATATCGGCGTGTAAGGTCAAACTTGACAGTGGACACAAATCTTTACTTACGCGATAAGTACATGCGTTGCCCTCGAGAAAATATTTAATTCCACATTGGTAATATATAATACTCGTTACCGTTCCTCTTGATTTGATTTAACACTCGAGTCTTAATCTAACATGAGACATCAAGTTCCGCGCTTGCCAACAAGCACTTTACACTTAGTTAAATATATTGAAAGATCGGTGGAAAAAGTGAAAGTAGTAAAATAGCCTTTTTTTTGCAGCAGGTACGTGTTTGATACGTGAATAAAAACAAGAGGAGTTGCAACGGACAATATTACCAATCTACCGGTGCAAGGAAAGATTTCTGTCTTTGTTGTCATGTTTAAACTTTGCATCTGACACAATATGTAATTTTCAATGGCTTCAAATACCACAGGCGTCGAAAAGACGGCCTTCACAGCACTGAAGAATTTCTGACTATTGGCTAAACAATAATAATAGTAATAATTAATAATAATAATCTATTTAGTGAAAAATTACTACTTTCGATCGCTATCTTAACATTTACTATTTTTTTTTCTATTTAACAACTGCGATACGATTAATATTATCTTATGCATTTAGAATTAATCGCTAGACAATATAGGACCACATAAACCTTGCTCCAATGATTCTTTTATTTCTTAAACAGAATCTTTATTACGATACAACATACAATAGTAAAATATCGCAATTTGTAGTTATTCCTTTCCGCCACCTATTTGAGAAGTAATAAAGAAAAATACATGAATAAGATCCTAAAATTAATGAAGACATTAAGTAGCTAATGATTTTCCTCAAGTAAGCAACAGAAATATATTTATTTCATTTCATTATTCAACTATACACAAAATATTGTAATTACAATATTCAACATGATCTGTACTTTACAACATAATTGGAATGTGTTAACTAGTATTTACAATAGTAGCCCCGCTGTGTGCAAGTGTGACGAAAATGCAGATTCTTTTTCTTTATAGGAAATTCTAAGGATGCCCAGGTGGCCGTGCGACAAACACATATGTTATATCACATGCAAGTTCATTGTCATTCAAGTATGCCCATTGAATCCCTTGCAGAAGCACGATTGATCTGGAGAGAGAATTTGATTCTCTTTTAGCAGTACGATATATTTCGTTCGAGTGAGAGCAAGGCTTCGGTGTGGTATGCTTAAAAATAAATTCGCCTCTAGTATTAGAAAAATAGCTTTACTTATTTAGACAAAAGTTGCCTGCCCCTTGACCAATATTTTTTTGTTAACCACCCTTTGTACTGTTTTCAAGGCATCTTGCTTACTGTTTCCCTGCGCTTATACCCATTAACAGGAGTAATTCTCCACGGATACATCTCTAAAACTTCAACATCAAATATAGAAAATATATGTCATTGTGTTTATATATTTAGATACACTTTATAATACATATACTCTGCGTTTATTGTGTCTGTGTGTCTGTGTGTACGCGCGCGCGCGAGTGTATGTGTGTAAAAGGTATATACGTCTATACTTGATTTGTATGCCTAGGTATTTCATGAACCAGGGCCCCATTATTTGGTCCGATACCTTAGCAACGTTTTAGCTCTTAATAGGTACTTTGAGGTCCACTCTGTCTCACGATTAGGGGCGTTAACAAGACTTTCGATATATATATAAATATAAATATATATACATACATATATATGCATATGTATATATATATGTGTATATATATATTGTGTATATATTGTGTAATAACGGACTTCTTTCTTATTTGATGGCAAAGATTACCAAGTAAAACTGATCGTTTCATTTCCTCTTGGCGTGAAGCATCTCCATGAGAAGCGTTTGCGTTGGCGCGCCTCCATTACAATGTTTCTGATAAAGATGCTCCTCTCCCTTGGTTGCCACCTCGTGAATGTCCGGTAATACTGCTAGCAGCTTGTTAAATTTATCCTAAAGAGATCGAAAATAAGCAACAATTAAATGTCTGGTTTGATTTGTTTTAGATCAGGTACAAGGGGAAATGTTTTGCGATAAAACGCACCGGTACAGTTGGGTGATGAGTTACTGTGTACTCCATAAGCGCCTGTTGAACCTGTTCGTGACCTTCTTGCACATGTTTCTTGTTTACTAGTCCACGGACATCTACAGCAAATTAATTACACGCATTTATATAAAAGATAAAGGTTTTGATTTGAATGTTACGGGGATATTGGAACGAGAAATTTATTTGAAAGTGGAACAAAAGGACAAAAAACCAATGTTACAATACGTCGTGCGATAAATTTCACATCGTTGACGCGAAAGGTCTTCTGTGATACTTCGTTGATCTTTACGTCACAATTTTAAAAAGCTACGTGAAACGTGACTGCACGGATCTTGCTAACTCAATTATTACCCGTTGTCTATCAAAAACTCGTCGCTTACGAGACGGACTTTTAATTTTATAACTTACCGTGATTCAGCAGCATTAGGAATTTCATGCATATATATTCTGGAACGTCGAATTTTAGTTCCTGAAGCGTCTTGGACAGTTCCCTGAAGGTTTCGGCCAAGGAAGGAACTCCGAGTAGGCCGAGACAGAGAAGATCAAACTTTTGGCCATTGTGAAGCGTCGTCTCGTCGGGTAGACTGTTGTGTAACCTGTGATGAAGGTGATCTAGCACCAACATATCCGACCAAGAATGTTGCAGCAACTTCATTTGATCGTCAACCTGGCAAACAACATTGCCATGTAAATGCTAGAAATAATGGACAAGTGTACAGAGAAACATATAATATACGGTGAGGGATTGCGTTCGATTTAAAATTTCAATATTTTCCAAAAAGTACGCAATAGCGCAAGCAAAAAATTGAAAAATTACTAAAATGAGAATTTACAAGTAATTTTAATTGCAATTTGCAAATCAATACTTGATAAGTATTCGTCGTGCCTCAAATGTTTGTTAAATGGTGAAAACGGTTTTTTTGTTGCAGTAGAAAATACTGCAAAGATGCAGTTGGTTGTAATATTTGTATATTTATCGGTATTTGTGTATTACGAAACTAGAGAAACGGTAAAAAAAAGGATCTCCTTCGGAAGCGTGACGCGATTTTCAGGAGATTGCCGCAAAGATCGGGCGGCAATGTGTACCATATTGTCGGCGAAAAGCTTCAACAAAATGGCCTCGGTCTGCTTTGCATCGTCGTTAACAAATGCACCGTGTTGGAGCAAAAATAAAAAGTTATTACAAAACGACCGGTTAAAGTATGCAATTTATAATTAACGCGGTCTCGCTTTGGGGCAACCGCCATAACCCAGAAACGTATCTTGTTATGACCTAGATATGAGGCGATGCTTGAAATCATTCAGTGATTGTGCAATGCCGCCGGTTACCTCACATCCCCGCCGCTCGTGGCACCGAGCAGGCCAGGCACGGCGAGTTATTTATCGGTAAGAACCAACTTTTCTCGCCGAGGAGATTCTCGATGAAATCGTTGCGGTTACTTCTAACGACGCGTCGTTACACGCCGACGCCTCTCCCGTACGTCTTTATGTCAAAATCGAAATTTCATGGCAAGAGGCGACGCAATCTCGAATTCGCGATGGAAGACAGGAAGGCAGGGGAGCAAAAGGGAAGATGCGATGTTTTCGAGAAAAGACCCGCGGCGACTTAGACGTCCCCCGAGATGCTCACCTTGAGATCCTTGAAGAACGTCGAGTTTCTAGCCCAGTCTACCTGCGAAAACAAATTCTGATCGAGCACTTTGCACATTAATTCGAACAAGTCCACTTCACACTGATTATACGTTTGGCTTTGCAACAGTCCGAAGAGAGACGTCTGCCACTCGCGGTCGTCGATCGACGACAAAAACTCCCTTATCATCGGGCCGAGTGTCTTGAGAGTGACGGGGGGGTTGGCCGTGTAGCTCGGCACCCCGCCGCCGTGTGGTTGCGCGGATTGTTCGCCGAAGTTGAAGACCTTCGTGCCGGGGGTGGTGGAATTCGCGGCCCAGAGTTTGCTGTCCAGGCCCGGGTTGAGGTTGTGCAGGTGATTACCGCCTCCGCCGCCGCCTCCACCTCCGCCAACACCACCGCCGCCGCCGCCTCCGCCGCCGCCGCCGCCACCGCCGCTGCCGCCACCGCCACCGCCGCTGGTACCGATGTTGGGTTGGCTGGATGGTGCGATCAGCTGGTGCTGACCGGCCCCGCTGCCGCCGGCCTGCGTCGTGACCAGGCCCGCGGCCACGGTCGCGGGGGACGGACTCGAGTCCGGCGACGAGGTCAGACTCGAGACCTGAGGTATTTGGATCTCCTGCTTGATGTGCATCAAGGGCGTGACCGCGGACGAGTAGCCGGTCGGGTCACCGAGGGTGCCGCGTATCGTCTGGATCGCCAGTTGCCGTTGACGTATCAGCTGCAGCTTTCGCGCCCGATCCCTCTTGTACATGGGCCCGAATTTGTTTCTACCGCCCCGCATTCTATCCGCCCGCACAGCTGAAACAACAGGGAGAATTGCTGATTTAGCGCAACGCAAACGCGTGTATATATATATATATATATAAGTATGTGCATCGCGTTTGGCGAGTATCCCTCGCGTTTATTCTTAAACGTTTAATTAAGAGGACCCCTCAGCCCTATTTTTTTTCACCGACACAGTGAAATATAGTTTTTGCGCTTGTAATTTTTTTTATTAGGCTTCTGAACCGAGTGTTTCAAGTCTGAAAATGTTCTGTTATGCGGCCCGCAACTTATCCTGGTATACATCAATGCCCACTAATGCCCAGTGGGCACTACTTTATCTTATTGTCTTATTTTATCTTTATAATAGCCCAGAAAGGCCTAATGCCTTTTAATGTGTCATTTGCACTTGTCTCTCCTACGTTATATATTTATGGCGAATTTTCTGATTCCGAACGGTCCGACGTAGCGCTCTTTTGAACAGAACAGGAAATATTTTTTCCCAGCAAAGGTTTAATTGAGCTTAGTATTTTTGCCCAGAATTTGGATGAATACCTGGAAGACTTATTTTTTGTTAATAATATATCTCCTGCTTTTTACACAAGTTTTGACAATAGATTATGTCACGGACGGTGTCGAAGAATTATGATCGGAGGTGAAGGACAGAGACCGTAACAATAAGACCCATGTTTCACTCGGTGCGGAAGTGGTCAGTCCTCAATTTTGGACATAAAGAAAACAGTGATCGACGATTCGTATTGTTGACTAATGGGTTCATTTTGTAAAAAAATCCCTTTAACGCGATTGAATGAAACAACTTTGAAAAAGTGCGATCTTCCGAAGCAAACGAAGGCAGAAGTCACGGCTAATCGACGAATAAGTAGGACAAAAATGTGAGAGCCATCGCCTGCTATTTCTATTGCACGTACGTACACATGGCAACACACGCGTGCACACCGTGTGCTGCCCAAAACTCACACTTGACCTTGCGGGAATAAAAGAAGGTAAAATTCTAAAACGAAGCCCGAGTCGAACCGAACGGCAGTATCGACGCAAACTCGGGTGCCTCATTCAACGCCCGTATATCCCGATATTATTTCAATTGATTTTTATTAATTTGTTTTTAAATAAATTGTGCGAGTCATTACTTTTAAAAGAATGGGAATTGAGGGCGGGGTGTTTGTGCCGCTTGAGCCGACACAGCAGCGCACACGATTCGACTTCATCGGTCGACTTAATTTTTAAATAACTCGATGAATAATGACCGGAAAGAAATATGACAGAGGAACCTTCGTCTCAGCATTTTACTTTCTTTCGCCCCCTCAAAAGTCAATTATAATTTTTGGGATGTCCTGTATAGATTGCGCGATCCCTGTCTCTCTTGTAGTTAGAAAATGTACAAGGTATAGAAAGAGAATGGGACCGTAGTTCTACACCCAGGAAAAAGATTTATTTAGGTAAAACAAATGAGATACGTTGAAACCACGTTTCTTTGAATCTGCTAAATTTGTATTTACTTCTACCAAAACATTTACTAGATTTGAGGAAATAGATGTGAATTCTCTTAGAGATTCCAGTCTTAATCAAATAAAATTTTGATTAAGGCAAAGAAATAATTTCTCTGAAATTAAATAATAAGTCTAGTAAGGTAAAAATTCGAAGAAAATTTGTTTGATTTCAAAGAAACTTCTTTCTGGGTGTATCTTTGTCTAACGAAAGGGACAATAAATATGAGTTTGAGCCCCACTCTGACCTTGATAGATGGAATCACGGTTCGAAGCATGTTGCTTCTTTCTATTATTCGTACAACTTTTAAATCGAACGCGCAGCCTATATCTTGTACATACGTGATCTACGATTCGTATTTCCGCATTTTGCAGTACACTATCGCGAATAATAAGCTTTCAAAGCCGCGCTTCTTCAAACTGGCCACTGATAACGAGCCATCTGCCGCGCAGGATTGATCGAATCTCGTCGCGCCGAGTTGTCTCAAAAACTATTGCGTACGAACGCAGCGTCGCGCGGGAATACACGTCTATGGGTTTATCCAGACAAACTTGTACAGGTACATAAGCATACACATAATTTTCCTATGCGTGCATTTATGGCCCAATCAGATCCCTTATGCATGCGTTTATGCGCTGTGCAAGTTTATCTGGATAGACCCTAAGAGTAATATTAGGTACATTTGTCACGCGACAAATCTTAGGAAATTTTTCGAGACCCGAGGACTCTTCTACCCTGCGGCCAATCAACACGCCTGAAAAATTTGTACGACAAATATAATAATGCCCTAACATGTGTCGCGAACTTGAATTCTCAGCTTGCCATCTTTCTCCGAGTACACCAAATACATCACTAGCAACTCTTGAATTTCGTCGAGAGAATAGAAATTTTCGGTAGAATTAAGATTGTGCATCATTTGAATTTAAGCCTTTATCTCGATAACATTTTTTAATTGTAAACATTGATAAGAAAGTTATCAAATGTTAAAATAGTCTTGCGGGTCTAAATTAAAGAACTCGCCAATTTATGAGATCGATTTCGGAGATATCACGACTTCGCTTCTTCGGCCAAGCGAAACGAACCGGAAATCGTGTCCTTATCTTATTAGATACGCTTTTAAAATCAATTACAATTTCTTGCCACACTCTTCGGATCTTTCGAGAGACGCGCGACTCGATACCGATGGTTCGATATTTAAGTGACTCGATAAATGCTGCGGCTCACTTTGAATCGCGAACGACGGAGAGTAAATCTTCAAGTGTTCGCGACTCTGGAGAACAGCTGGTCGGCTAGAAGCCACGTATGTGCGATTCAAATGGCCTACACCCATGTCGGTCTAAAACCGCCACTGCAACTGGTGCGAAGAAAATAAGCGTCGTAATGGTCGCTCGCGTAATCCGTAATTGACAATTAACACGCAGGGGACTCTCTCTCATATTTTTTTTTTTACGTTTTTTTAACTTGCGCCGAATGACCCGCCACGCAATACTTTCTGCATGGAAACATAGTCCGGAAAGCATTTACAATTTCGAGGCGATTAGTTCCCAAAGAGTTTTACACGCGAACTTGTATTCGCGAGTCACTATCGACAGAGATTATCTCTTTTGTCGAAAGTAAATAAGAGCATAACAAAAAAAATGTATTCTCTCCCGGATTCTTTTGAACGTAATTTAGAGATAATTTCTTATCTCTTAATTAAAATCGCCATAGCGGCAGATATTAGAGAATTGTTCGAATTTTTTTATATGCACGGATATCGCAACGACGATCATAATTACTGTATTTTCCCATTCGATTGTGAATACATTAACGTCCACGTAGGACATAAAAATTGCGCCAGGAGAGCGAATTGTTATTTTTTAATCTCTCGCAGAATTTTTGTTGCAGTGTTTCTCTAAATGAAATTGAAATAAATATATTGCGTTGGTGTGTGCGTGCGCACATAAATTACATTGTCATTTTGCAATGTTTTGATAGATAAACGGCAGCATCTTATATATCAAATACCAACGTTGTTTCAAGGTATGAAATTATACAAAGTTATTTCACGCATGAAATTATACGCTACATTGTAAACTTTGACAACCGCAAATATTAATTTCGGCTATTAACTTAACAACTGCAAGTAGCGAACAAAATTTTGTAATAAGTAGCCTTATTTAAAGAGTAAATCTTATATCCTGTTGCGGTCGCTTCTAACAATTGTTTATTCCACCGTTATGCTCGTCTCCAGAAGATGGAATTTTTAAGCGTATCCAAAATTGTTTGATGGCAAAAAGTTTAAAAGGCACGTTAATTAAATCATTGTAGCAGAGACGCATTAAACGTTGCAATTAGAGATCAAGTTAAATATATGTACTTGAGATTCCAAGTTAAATCCAATAGTCAAGTTTCATTTTCTAAAATTCGAATAATATTTATGTAAGAAATAATACTCGATACATTGCACTAACTACAAGTAATCGATCTCGACTAGTTTGAACTTTTTAATGAATATCAGGATTCGAACTGTACTTTTAAGTAGTTTCTGCCGTCGAGAATCGAATCTCTTACAAATAATAACTCAAACTCCAAGAATAAGTGGTTAATTAAAAAAATGTATAAAGGTATAAAAATTTTCAGCGCAATTTTTATACAGCCTCGAGTGCCGGGCGTCTCTTGGATTTTTCTAAAGCTGCATCCAATTGTCAGTATCGACAACTAAAAAGTCGATATCGAGAAAAGATTCGTGAATAAGAGGGAGGACAGATCTGGAGACACTACGCCCCATCTGCGAAACACAATCTCGATATTAAAAGCCTCCTTCGCCAGAAGGGGACCCCACCTCTCATCGCTTCCGACGATGTTACAGATCTAATAAGCTAACCGAGTGATCGCTACCTAAGCAGCTCCTTCGCGATCACGAGGCCCGTTCGCTCGTCTTCTTTACCGTTTCTTAGCACCGTCGGATGAAGCGAGCAAGAAAGGTAGCGTCACGACGCGACATCCACCCTCGCGAACCCCGTCATCAAGGAAATCTCGCGGGCGCTCGTCGCATCTGAACTCTATTGTCGGGCAGCAGAGGGAGAGAGGCCCAGTGGTCGCCTGGCGAAAACGGCGGCGTTGCCTATTTTCGTATGCGGACTACTCGCCGTCTCGCGTCGCGTCGGCCGCATGAAACGGCGAACGAAACGAACGAGCCAGGCGCTCGCTCGCTCGTTGAAAGTGAAAGGAGGTTGAATCGCTCTTGCCCGTCCACTTCTGCCTGTGCCGCCCTGCACGCCGACGTAGCCCTCCCTCTCCCCTGCGTCTCCTCCCTGCCCCTCCGGACCTCACTTATACTACCGCCGCGCAAAACCCTCTCCCTCCCCCCTCTCGCCCCTGCCGCTCCACCACTCGCTCCACATTACCGCCTCCGCCACCCTGTGTGCCCTCTCGCTCTCACGACTCTCTCTCGCGCTCTTCTCCTTCTCTCGCGCCGTCGAGAGAACCCCTCGTTTCCCCTCCACCCCGCGCACCAAGTCGACTCCCCGTGATACTATCGATACTGC